TAATTATGAAATCAAACTCAAAGTGCTTGCAAGTAACTGAATGAGTTCACGTTGACTTTTACAGAAAGACCCAGACTTTAACAGATGAAAAGTATCTTTACCAGATTCATTACTTACTGATAGTTTATCTGAAGATATGATAAAACACACATTTAGAAGTTCTTTATAACCGGGCGGTGGTGGCGCATGCCTTTAATCCCAGCACTTGGGAGGCGGAGGCAGGCGGATTTCTGAGTTCGAGAGTTCGAGGCCAGCCTGGTCTACAGAGTGAGTTCCAGGACAGCCAGAACTGCACAGAGAAACTCTGTCTCAAAAACCAAAAAAAAAAGAGAGAAGTTCTTTATAAATCCTTTTTTTTTTTTAAAGTCTCGTGAATGTAACTTACTTCTGTAGTGAGAATTCTGGTTTCTTTAAAAAAAAAAAAAAACCCAGTTATGTCATATGATCATGTTTCTGTTTTATTCCCAGGTGTGGTTATGATAAGCGGCTGCCCCACAGCAGGTGATTATCTGCTGAGTGTACTAGCAGAGGCATGATTTTTGCCAGCTGCAAATAGTTTACATTTGGAATTCTGGGGACTCTGGAGAGGGTCTGTGGTGGCTACTGCTGGTTCCTGTTGGTGCAGTTTGTCACGTGATCCTGAGCAAAGAGGGAAGCTGGAGATAGCCTGACCACAAAGATTGGACTTGTGCCACGGAACCCAGTGCCCCTAAACAGCAGGAAGTAGTCTTAAGATCTATGCCCTCTTCCCCCTCTAACCTTCTTTCTCTCCTACCTAGTGTTGGGGGCGAAGTTGGAAGGGATTAGAGTGGAATAAGGATTGGAAGGGAGGGAGGTAGCTATGTTATCCCAATAACATAGCTAAACAAATACACCAATATACGTCCAGTTATGATTATGGGGTTTTCATTTCTGTCTTTTAGACAAATTTTCACTGTGAAGTCCTGTTGGTTGACAATATAGTGCAAATAGCCTCAGATTGCAAATAGCCTCAGATTCTTTATCCTCCTGCCTCAGCCTCTAAAATGCTAGGATGTACAATCATCCCTGGGCCTATATGTTCCATTTAAAAAAAAAAAGAAAAGAAACATTGGGGCTAGAGAAAGAACTCAGAGGTTAAGAGCACTTGCTTTTCTTATAGAGGACCTGAGTTCACGTCCCAACCTCTACACAGTGGTTCACAACCATCTATAACCTCAGTTCCAAGGGATCCAAAGCCCTAGACTCCAAAGGCACCGGACATGTATGTGTTGCACATCTATACATACAAGCAAAAGCTCATACACATAAAATAAATAATAATAAAAAAAGAGACCCATAAATTGTAAGGAGTGCCGGGCGGTGGTGGAGCACGCCTTTAATACCAGCACTTGGGATGCAGAGGCAGGCGGATTTCTGAATTCGAGAGTTCGAGGCTAGCCTGGTCTACAGAGTGAGTTCCAGGACAGCCAGGGCTACACAGAGAAACCCTGTCTCGAAAAAAAAATAAAAAATAAATTATAAGGAGTTAAATTTACAAAAGAGATAAAACATAAATAAGTTAATTATGGGCCAAACTGGCTATAACCTGCTTATATATACACCATTCAGTTAGGAGACTTTTAAAAATTCTCAATTGCTTCTGTTATTAAAGGAACTAAGCTTACTTATTAAAGACTTACATGGTCAGGGCAGAAAGAGAGAAGACATTCAAAAGATTGGAAAAACATCAGTTAAGATGAAACCCACAGAGCTAGAGATATCAGTGAAAAATTCAGCTTGGCACACTTCCATAGAAAGACAGACAGACTCAAGTGAGCAGGACAGGCCCAGCAGAAGGGTCCTAGATACCCTGTGCCTAGTTCTGTAAGTAATACAGAAGCACTTACAAATTCATTCTTAAGTAGGAAGAAGACACAATACAGACAACTCTGTACTGATGGAAGACTGGATGTGCATGACCGAACACCAACAAACAGTACACCAATATAGAAAAAGGGAAATTGCTCAATTACAAACACCTCTCCACTTCGCTGACTCTAAGGCTAATTTTTTGTTTCAACTGTATTTTTTTAATTCCTTATCATCTGAGACTAATTTGTTTTATTTCAACTGTATTTTTTAATTCCTTATCAATTAATTAATTGGTTACTAGCTAAGTAGCCAAGGCTGAGGGTCTTCCCTTTATTTCTCTGGGACCAGCTCCTGTCAATTCTGGACTGCTTCTCCCTCAGAACACCTTGCACATATTCTATCCCCTTTCTGTTCTTACTGCCGATACCTGAATGGCAGGCCTCATTACCTTACACTTGGGTTTTTCCATTCCATTCCCTGCAGCTTTTCCCTTCTTTATCTCAATGGAAACACTACTGCCAGAGTAATCTAAAACATCTCTGTACACACTACCCCTTGTTCAAAAGTCTTTGAAGGAAGGGCTGGCAAGATAGCTCAGTGGTTAACTTCAATCCCTTGCACCCACTAGGTGGAAGAAGGGTACCCACTCCACCAAGCTGTCTCTGCCCTTCATTTGTACACTGTGGTAGATGTGTGCCCCTCCCCCTCCCCCAAGAACATGCTATTGTGAAATGACAGTTTAAAACTGAAAAGAAAAAAAAAAGACAGAACAAAACCTTAAAAAGTATCTTACCGCCTGAAGGGGAAAAAATAAAAACAAATAACTGAAAGTGTTTCCTGGGAGCGGGGTGAGGAGTAACCAGAAGCTGCCCGACATTAGCTTACTATTTTCTCAAGGTCTAGCTCAAATGTGGCTTCCCTACTCATCCTTCTCCCATCACTAGTCTAGACGAGTGTGAGCCACAGATGTAATTTAAACATTTTCACAGCCACGTTTAAAGCAAAAAGAGGTAAGGCCTGCCTGGTGTTTGAACCATGTCAAATCATCGTTTCAACGGGTCATCACTTCATGAGTCAATTTACACTGGTTTTGCACTGTGTTCGGCCATGTATTTGCTGGTATATCCCTGTTCAAGCCAACCTTATTTCAAGTGCGCGATACTGCATGTGGCTAGTGGCCACTGTAATAGCAGAGGTCTAGACTCCAAAATCAATGCTTTGGGCTGGAAACCATCGTGGTTTTGCCACTGCTTAAGAGCAAAGTTGGCACCACCCGGTTTTTATGTCCATGTCTCAGACTGATTTCAATGGTTTCACCAACCATCAAGTTTCCCAGACTAAAAACCATCCACCCATTACCAGCGAACAGGCAGTCACTAGTGGGATCCTATGTAGGACATCTACCTCATTTCTCCAGATCTTTCTTTCAATGGAGGTGCTTGTTGCCTTTCCTGAATGGTTGACATTTCACCTAGTTTTCTTGTCTCAGGTTGGTCCCTCCATACCCTTATAAGCCAGACTACCCTAAGAAATAAATGCCTCATGCCTGCTCCCTGCCAAGTGTGCACTAGCTTCCTGCTAGCTAAATGAAAGCCAAGATCCAAGACCACTCACACGTTGATCTTTGGTCTCCACCAACCACTCTTCCAGGTGTTTGTTTGTTTGTTTGTTTGTTTTTAAATCTCCCCAACAGTGTCCAGCCTTCTCAAGTTCTTAATCCCTCTTCTGCATCCAGGAGTAACTTTGTTCTCCCAGGCTTAGCAAATTCCTCTTGATCCAGCTCAGGTGCAACCTTTTCATTGTCCCCAGGTAAAGCTTGAGTACTTAGCACAAAGGAGGCAGAAGGAGTATTTGCGAACGGACCAAGAATGTTCAAAAGCGATCATCTCTGCATCTCCCAAACCAAGCACAGTGCTCACAGCAATATAAATAAACGTTCTGAAAGCAGTGAACACACCATATCAGAAACTCCCCCAGGACAGTGGTTTGGACTACCTCTGCTTCATCCCAAATCTATTCTTGCTTTCTCAAGAATGATCGTGAACGTTGAGGACAACCAATGAGAAATAGGCAAAGAGGGGTCTGGACTAGTCCTGGGTTTACAGAGTGGGAGAAGTCTCTCTTTAACCGTTCAGGTAAAGAAAGGCTTTGGAACAGGGAAGGGAGTTGTAAAATTACATGTTAGAGGGTAGACACAGATGATGCTTTAAGCATCATCTCTCTGTCACAGGGGCCAGAGTACTGGAGTTGGAAATGGCCTGACTTCTGGTTTCCTGAAAAGTATGTAAGCAAGGAAAATAAGAAGGGGATCTTGGGAAACAGTGATTGCGGTAGCGCTGAGAGAGACGTTAATTCTAACCAGGCGTGGCATAAACCTCTCAAGGGTCTTCGTATTTAAGGAGCTAGGAGGGCACCTGCTGGCCTCCTGGTCTCTGAACCCAAGATGGGGAAGGCACGGATGGGGAGGCTTGGGGGGTAAAGCGGCACCCGGGGAAAGCCCAAGCTGGATTCGGATTAACTTTTAGCTCCAGGGGATGAAAGGTCAGAGGAAATAGGCAAAAGGGAGGGCAAGGAGCAGAGGAGGAACCATAGGAGCGCCCCAAACACCTCCGAGGTTTCAGCCCGTGGAAAAGTCACTTCTCTTTCCCCTTGCGGAACGCTTGTTCCAGGAACCACGGAGACGGTCACAACCGAAACCGCGGGAGCGCGTCCGGGCGACACCGGGCCGACGCGGGAACCCAGTCCCTTGAGGGCCTCCTCCCCACCCGAAGGCGCCTTTCTTTCTCCCGTCCTCACCTGCCAGGTCAGTCTTCCCCGGCACTGTCCGCCGCCCTTCCCAACCCCTAGTGGAACGCAGGTCGGAGGGCGAGCAGAGCTAGCGCGCGCTCAGCGGCGGAGAACAGCCGGCAGGAGCCCCTGTGTGGTGGCCGCCATCTTGGGCCTGAGGAGAGCGGCTGAGGCGGGGACGACCCGGGCGACACCATCTGTAGGGGTGGCGAGGAACCGGGTCCAGGAAGAGGACAGCGCAGAAGCTCGCAGACTTCGTCAGCTGGGATCTAAGTTTTATTCAGAACCTGCCACGATCACTTAAAGCTGAAAACGAGGAGGACTTACTCGCGAGGAGGGAGAGGGAGCCGTCGATCTGCCGTCGCCACCCCTCTCCACAGGGCTGGCGCGGCAAGTGGCAGCTCCTTAGGTCACGGCTTCCGCCGGCGCCAGTGGCCTAGCTCCCTGCGGCTGTCCTTGGTCGCACTTGGCACCAGGCTAAAGGTGGGTCTGGGGACCCCGGCGCCACCGGTTGGGTGTAGGCGGGAGGGTCCTAGGGAACGCTCGTATGGAGGGGGAATCAGGGTCGCCTTCGGGTGACCACTGCTCGCTGCCGGCTCCACACCTTTTACAAAGAGTGCTCTGATGCTGACTTAACCAAAGCGTCTTTGGGGACGATCCGATGGCCTCGCTCTCGAGGGACTAGGAAGGGTTCCCAAGGATCCGACTCTTGGGCCCACAGTAGGGAATGCAGCATCTATCCAGAAGCAGGGCGCTTCTTTCTCCTCGTCCAACTCTCCTAAAAGTGAAACCCGCACTTGCCCGTTTGCCTTTTTAAAACATGGCTTTCTGCTTGGTTTCCAGCATGTGTATGTCATGATCTCAGAAGGTTTCATTGCTCTATGCATTCACTTCTGTTTTCCATGGCTTAGATGACACTTTGTAGTAATTATAAAGAACTGTGGCGTCCAGCCTGACCCAAGGTATTGTCTCTTAAAAAGTCTACATGTTTCCAGCCTGAATCCAGAGTGACTCACCAAAGTAAGGCCCACAGCAGTTTTTGTTTTCTTCTTGAAAATGTTAAGAAACTTGTATTAGAGAAAAATATTATGAAATATGTGGGGTTTGTTGTTGTTTTTTGTTTGTTTTTAGAAAGCAAAAGCTGGAAGTGGTAGCGCATTGTCTTTAATCCCAGTGCCCAGGAGGCAAAGACATCTCTGTGAGTTCGAGACTAGCTTGGCATACATATGACTTCTAGGCCACAGACAGACAGACAGACAGGCTCTGCAAAAAAGAAAGAATTAGAGGAGTTATTTAAATGTTTACCTCCGTATATATGAGAGACAGTAGAACATAAGAGCTTAAACCATATCAAGATACAGATTGGGTACTATGCTAATCCTTTCTGACACCCTATCACTTAAAGCAAGCTACTTTTACGATAACTAAATTTGGATTTCTTTATCTGAAAAAAAAAAATGCCCTCAGACTTGAGACATTGTCACTTAACAAACCTGCAGTCTGTGGTGAGGAGTATATGAATTAGTGATGATGCAGAAACACCTCTTCCGTGTTTAATAATTCCAACTACTTTGTGAGGATGAGGCAGAGGGATAGTAAGTTCGAAGCCAGCCAGAGCTTCACAGTAAGACTGTCTCAAAACAAAAACAAAACAAAAAAAAACCAACGGATTCAGTTCTTAGAAGCTTGCAAAAAAAAAAAAAATCACTTTAATATTAAATAAATGACCAAGGCAGAATGTGTGGCTCTGTGATACAGTATGTGCTTTTCAAAGACAGGATGACTCCTTAATCCTTAATGACCTAAGATAAGACACAATTTTTCTTTCTCTCTTTCTTTCTTTACAGGCAAGGTTTTTCTGTGTAGCCCCGGCTGGCCTTGAACTCACAGAGATCCTCCTGCTTCTGCCTCCTGAGTGCTAGGATTAGTGCACCACTGCTCAGCCCCCCCCCCCCTTCCTTCCTTCCTTCCGTCCTTCCTTCCTTCCTTCCTTCCTTCCTTCCTTCCTTTCTTTCCAATACTACAGCACCAGGCAGTGGTGCACACAGGGGAGGCAGAGGCAGGCAAATTTCTGTGAGATCCAGGACAGCCGGGGCTACAAAGAAACACTGTCTTGAAAAACAAAGCAAAAATACTATAGCTGCTCCAAATTTCTGAAATAAAAACAAAATTCATCTTTTGGACCCACATAGAAGAAGACACCTGGAGCTAGAGAAAAGGCTGGGCTCAGCGGGAGACGGCTGGGTCATAGTGGCTCAGTGGTTCACAGTGCTTGCTGCTTTCCCAGAGGACCTGAGTTGGTCCCCAGCTCTCGACTCACAGCTCCAGCTCCAAAGGGCTCCGATGCCTTTGGCCATCTTGGGTACCTGTAGTCATGTGCACAGGCACCTACACGAAGTTAAAATAATAAAATCTGAAGAGCTGAAGAGACCATTAATATGTGCTCTCATAAGCACCAGCCAGGAATATATTCCTTAAAGCAGTTAATTGGCCCTGGCCTGTTGGTAACAAGAAGTGAAGCCTGTACTGGGCCTGTACTAGGTGAAGCGCTATAGACTTAGCCCCATAACCTAAACTCTACTTGTACCCATTTTATGGAAAACCATTCTGCCTCACACGTGTCCTTTTTTGCCCTCCCTGCTCATCTACTTGCAGAAAAACACCACTGTAAATAATGTTCACTGCTTTGCTCCCCAAGCCAGTTGGGTATGTACTGTAATATGAGATGCCTCTCTGGGACGAAGATTTGTCATTTTCTCTTATGAATATTCCCTCATGATGAGTGAGGCCAACCATGGATTCTGTGAAAAATCTGTTTCTTAGTTCCATTGTCATTATGCCTCCAGTCTGTAGGAGCCCAGATGTGGCAAGAGGCCCATAAGGCTTACCTCTTCTCTTCTAAGTAGAGCCAGATCAAACCCATCTCTTAGAATGTTAATAGTAATGCCTCATAGCTGTGAGCTTATCTTCAACTGCTGTTAGCTGGGAATCAGCAAGTACTTGTCACTGCATAAATGCTGTCTTAACAGCTGTATAAACAATGAAGCTAAGGACTTTAAAAAAAAATGTGTGTGTCTGTGTATGCATTTGTATTCAAGTCAGTGGGTGAGTTCTGGAGTCTGTAAGAGCCTGTATGTGGTAAGAGCCCCACAGTCCTAACTCATCTCTTTCCTGATTGAGCCGGATGAAATCTCTCAGAATGCCAGTAGTAATGGTTCTGTTGTTCTAGCCTCATCTTGGAGGTAAAGCCAGATTCTTCAGTTCAAAAAGGACTCCCTAGGTGGCACTGATGTGTAGTTAAGGTTGAGAATTCCAGCTGTAACGAGGCAACAGACTACAACATAACTAACAGAAGGCTAAGTTGTGATGATATATTTATCTTATCATATGCTACATAATAATTGTAGAGATCAGTGATGTTCAAACTGCAGTTTGCTATGTAGAATATTACATACTATGAACTTTATAGTAACTGCAGCTTTTAACTAATGGTTATAGTCTAACACTGTGACTTTAGGAACTCGATACTTAAAAATTTGAGAAATAGTTAGAACTGTGTTAGAATCTAGACCAACTCAGGTCAAGCAAGAATGTAATCTATGAGCACAGATTAAGCAAGCCACCCTTGCTGGCAGTAACATGTTGCTTCTCCTAGGGCTGACATGTCCTCTCAACCATTGTATGTGATATACTCACATGTGGATGTGATTTTGCTTCATGAGTGTATACAAATCTTAACAAAGAAAATTGGCAATTCGGTGGTGATTTTATTGAATTCCGTACACATTTGCTATTTTTGACTTGGTTGCCAGTTCTGTTCTCCTTTATCTGCTTTTTAGAAAGTGTTAAACGCTAAAAAGCACTTAAATAACCAGAAATATCAGCTCAAAAGAAGGGGAAATGTGCTATGATACAGGAGGCATTGTTTGGAGAGACCTGAATTTGAACAGCAGCTTGCAATCAGTAGCTATTCGAGTTAAGCTGTTGTTTTTTAAGTGTATTTTATGTGTATGCTTGTTTTGTCTGCATGGATGTACGTGTATATACACCACATTTGAGCCTGGTGCCCTTGGAAGTGTGAAGTCATGGAGTCCTGTGGAACTGAAGTTATGGATGGTTGTGAGCTGTGTGTAGGTACTGGGAACAGACCCTACATCCTCTTAAAGAACAAGTACTTTACCCACTGAGCCATCTCTTCAGCCCCAAGTTCGTATCCATATAAAATGAGAATAATAAAAGCTAATCCACATTCTATATAGAAATATGAAAACTTCGTGTCTAGTACCCATTCTATAAATTATTTTTTCTTTTATAGTAATTTTTTGATCTTGTGACATTGTGTTCTTTTCAATGTTTTTATCCTACAGAAAACAATTTTCAATAAATTTATCTTTACTCAAAAATTCCACTACTAGTAAAATATTAAATTTAGATTGCATTATGAGAACATCTGCCAAAGAAAAAAGAAAAAGCCAGGCGGTGGTGGCGCACTCCTTTAACGCATTTGGGAGGCAGAGGCAGATGGATTTCTGAGTTCGAGGCCAGCCTGGTCTACAGAGTGAGTTCCAGGACAGTCAAGGCTATACAGAGAAACCCTGTCATGAAAAACCTGAAAAAAAAAGAAAAAAAGAAAGAAGATTTTGTAAATAATGTAATGCAGTATAATTTTTATTATATGTTTGTGTGTGCATGTGTGTGTGTGCATGTTCATGCAAACACGAGGGCCAGAGTACTACCTGTGGGAGTGGTTCTCTCCCACAGTCATGTATGTGGGTTCTGGAAATCAAACTCAGTCAGGTTTGGCAATAAGTGCCTTCATCCTGGAACTCAAATCTGTAGACCAGGCTGGTCTCAAACTCAGAGATCCTTCTGCCTCTGCCTCCCAAGTGTTGGGATTAAAGGTGTGCCCACCACTGCCAGGTTTTTAGTTAAGTTTTAGTTACTTTCTGATGCCAAGCAAACCTAAAGAGGCTTATGCTTTTGACAAGCCTCATGTCCACTTCGGATGCAGTTTAACAGGTGACTTGTTTTAAGCCAGGTGTGGTAGTTTATACCTGTAATCTGAGTACTAGGACCACAGCCAGCCAAGAGCTTCTGCTGCAAATTCAAGGTCAGCCTCAACTATATTCTGGGTTCCAGAATATAACCGTAGTAAAATCAAGCCTGTCTCAAAAAAAAACAACAACAACAAAAAACTCCTAACCAAAGTGTTCTTTTGTTTTTTTCAAGACAGGATTTCTCTGTATAGTCCTGGCTGTCCTGGAACTCACTCTGTAGACCAGGCTGGCCTCGAACTCAGAAACCCGCCTGCCTCTGCCTCCCGAGTGCTGGGATTAAAGGTGTGCGCCACCACCGCCCGGCTCAGAGTGTTCTTATTAACACATTAATCGTACATATTAATGGAGTCCCTGTTCCCATAGCATGTGTTGATTATATCCTCCCTTCCTCCACCTTCGTCTCCCTCTGTGGTGTATTGTTCCCAGCCCATAGTAATCCCTGCCTACCATTTATTTCAATATTTCAAAGGTAGTTGTATTTTGTATTTAATTTTTTTTTCTGTTTTAACAGCCAAGATGACCTTATTTAATCTTGTACGTGAGCACTGGGTTCATATACTTGTCCCTGCGGGATTTCTCTTTGGATGTTATCTAGACAGGAAGGATGATGAAAAGCTAACTGCCTTCCGGAATAAGAGTATGCTCTTTCAAAGGTTAGTTCATGGCAGCTTTGGGGAGTTCTGTCTCTTTTGTTCCAAACAGTCAAGTGATACTTCAGGATGTTATTTAATTGTTGGATGAAACTATGATTACATCTGGGGTGCAAAAAAATTTTTAGTTTATGATTTAGCCATTTCAGATCTTTGAAAGTTTCATTTTTTTCCTTTTATTAATTTTTTTCACCTAATATATAAAATGACTTTTTAAAACCTATTATTTATGCATGTGTCACATGTTGTATATGGGTTTCCTTATAGGCCAGAAGAGGGGATCAGATCCACTGGAGCTGTAGTTGTAGGTAGTGGATGTCCTGTGAGAGCACTCATAACCACTGAGCCATTTTCCAGTGCCCTCAATATGGCATCTTCATGCAAGCATGTATTTATACTTTTCATTCCCTGTCACTGGCTCTGTTCCTCTCCAAATAGAGTCCTTTTTTCATGTCACATATATTTAAATCTAGATTTTGCATATAGCAGAAAACATGCAATGTTTTGTCTTTTTTTTAAATTATCCTTTATTGCTGCCCTTTTCCTTGAGGCCTCCCCTTGTTGTATTCCCTTTGGAAAGTCAGAAGCTTTAAAACATAAAGAGTGTATTTTAGTTTAGAAACTAAATTCAAACCAGCTGCCCCAAACCTATCACACACACTTTCATATATGTTAGTGTATACTGATTTGATACAGCTGAAATACGCAGGATGCTTTATATATGGTGACTAAGCTGTAATACCCTCCAACTTGCCTGAGCCTAACATGGCTAACAAGACCAGATAGTGTGGCCATCTGCCAGTGGGTATAGCTGTCTACCCTCAAGGGTGTGAAAGACTGAGTAGCATCCAGTGTCACTATGCAGGTGTGTAGTTCTCACCTCCAGTATTTCTAGACGATGGAAGAAGCTGTGAAGGATCTAGAAACCATTAAGTGCTCTTTCTGTATACTGGGAAAGACAGTGAAAGTTTGAGGATAGAATGAATGAATGAATGAATGAATGAATGAATGAATGAATGAATATGATGAATCTAATGTAAGACTGAGTCAATTTGATAGACTATAAACAAATATAAACTTCTGGCCCTTTTATAATTTTTATTTACCATGGGTGCTTAGAGATGGCTTAGTGATTAAAAGTGTTTGCTGCTCTTAGAGGACCTAGGTTTGGTTCCCAGCACCCACATGGTGGCTTATAACTCCAGTTCCAGGAAACCCAATGCCCTCTTTCAGCTTGCTAGAGCACCTGCACACACATGATGCATGAAAATTGTAATGTCTTTTTAAAGTTTATTTACTATTTTTCTTTATTTTTTCTCTCACAGGGAACTGAGGCCCAATGAAGAAGTTACTTGGAAGTAAAAGCTGATTAAATCACAGAATGTTCATGTTTTAAAAGTTATTGGAGAAATAAAGACGTTTATTATTTAATTAGAAGAATTTAAAGTGTGATTCTTTTTATACCATTTATTTATTTTTAAAGACTTATAAAAAAAATAAATAAAAATAAATAAATAAAAATAAATTTTATGTATATGAGTACACTGTAGCTGTCTTCAGACACACCAGAAGAGGGAATCAGATCCCATTACAGATGGTTGTGAACCACCATGTGGTTGCTGGGAATTGAACTCAGGACCTCTGGAAGAGCAGTCAGTGTTTTTAACCACTGAGCCATCTCTCCAGCCCGCTTATACCTTTTACTAAGGTAACCATTTATATCCTTTTTATGTTCTGTTGCGATAACCTTCAAGTATTAGGCACAGTTGACTTAAAAAGTGGCTGCTGAGGCCAGGTGTGGTAGTCAAGCCTGTAACATGAGCACTCAACAGGCAAAAGCAGGAAGATTCCCACAAATGCAATACCAGCCTGATTTACATAGCAAGCATAGGTCAGCCAAGGATATCAAGACTCTGTCTCAAAAAATCAAAAACAATAACAATTGAGCACACCATTGTATATGTAGGTATCCTGTTTATTTTTCGCATTTATTTTTTTGTTTCTTTTTTTGGAATAGTGTTATTAGGCCATAACTACCATTTGCCCCCTCGTATTTTCAGTGTGTCCTTTAGAAATCGATGTGTTATCTCCATTGTGAAGCAATAAAAGAAGAGAAACTTCTTAGACTACCATGTATAGAAGTAGAGCTTCTGAGAGGCCATTAGGATTAGAACAGACATTAGGGTACCACGTCTGTTATTGAATTCCTTGTGGCCTTAGAAGAGATGTATTCTTGTTGTGTGATACCTTATACCAGGCAGGTCTCAGGACTGGCAACAAGGCCAACGCTGGATGTGGCCCTGAATGGACCTTGGAATTTCAGAGCTGAGCAAAATCAACCTCTTTATTATTGTCTGGCCTCCAATACCTTGTTATGGTCTATAGAGACTAAGTGTGCTTCCAGGAAACTCTGAAGGATGATGCAGGGATTTTGCTTGGTAAAATCAAAGCTAAAACTTAGAATTGGCAATGATTTTCCAAATACAAAACAACATTTTTGAAAGACCAGCAAGTTATATTTAATCAAAATTTAAAACTTATTCTTGGCCGGGCAGTGGTGGCACACGCTTTTAATCCCAGCACTTGGGAGGCAGAGGCAGGTGGATTTCTGAGTTGGAGGCCAGCCTGCTCTACAGAGTGAGTTCCAGGACAGCCAGGGCTACACAGAGAAACCCTGTCTCGAAAAACAAAAAAAAAAAAAACAAACAAAAAAACCAACTTGTTCTTTTAGGGATGGGGGTACACACACCTCAGACAGTGGTAGAGACTATTCTGGATAGTTCATATAACCTCATCTAACATAACCTTTGTGTGCGGATCCCCTCAGCATGCTTCCCCCACTTCCCCCCACCCCCCACATACACCCACTTTGTTTTAAGCTTTGTGTTACTGTATGTATCAGTGCTACATTTGTCTAATGGCTGAATCCTTGTCTAGTGTGTGACTTCCTGGGGAGATGTGAACCAACTTATTCACCCTAGACAAGGGCACTAACAACAGACCAAAGAAATGATTCCATCCAAGTCTGTCTTGATGAACCAGTAAGCTTACTGGGGTTACTTTCAGGAGCATGGGTGACTCAAAAGTAGCCCTACACTTAAAAAAAAAGCACATCCCAATACAGGCAACAACTCACAAAAGCTGCTGTCTTCAGGCAGCTCCGCTGAAGAGTCTCCCCCACCCACCATGATTTTATGATTTTATTTCTTATAGAACCTTGGGGAAAGGCTTTCGAGTCTTGGAAACTTTAGTGTCTCTGGAGTTCCATAAGCTTCCTTAGTGCTGGAGCCTTGCACACTTCTCTTTTCTTTCTAGGAGGTAAGGTTCTTCTTCTGCGAAAATTACTAAAATATGGATGGACCACATCATATATTCATGTCTATTTACCAGATGTTGGACACTGGGTTGTTTCTACTTTTTTTTTAGTGTAATACTGTTTATTTAACTTCAAAAATATTTCAGCATTTTAAACATACAAAAAATAACAATGTTGCAAATTGTGTTTAGGTACAGAGGGTTCTTGAACTTCATTGATGCAGTAGTTCTTTGCTTTGCTGACAACGATGAGTTCTACGGTTCCTTTAGAAAGTTTAAAATCTACTGCACGTAACTAAAAAAACTCTAAACACTTCTCATGCCAGCTGACCCCTCCCCCCTTTCCATAACTAAGAATGTCAGCAGAATGCTGTGCCACTATATACAAAAACAAGACAACCTGAAGCTAAATGAATGCCCACTGTAGTATCAACAGGTCCAGCCTCACAGTGAACGCCCTGAGCTACGGGCCCCCCCAAAAGGGATCTTCTCCTCACAGCCTCCACGCCAAAGGGCATCAAGAATCTGCTGGATAGCCAGGCGGTGGTGGCGCACGCCTTTAATCCCAGCACTTGGGAGACAGAGGCAGGCGGATTTCTGAGTTTGAGAGTTCGAGGCTAGCCTGGTCTACAGAGTGAGTTCCAGGACAGCCAGGGCTACACAGAGAAACCCTGTCTTGAAAAACCAAACCAAAAAAAAAAAAAAAAAAGAATCTGCTGGATTGTTTGTTCTCTTTACAAACTATAGATATGTACAGTTGACAACTCAGGATTTCTAGCCAATAACCATATAGTTAACACTACCTTACGAGTTGAGAACAAAATGCCAGAAACATCTTCAAATGCCTTGTCACACCAACAGCAAAGTGCACTGAGCAAAGTCTAGAGTGTCTTTTCATTTTAAAAACATTTGGGATTATGTACAACTTTGTTACAGTTTCAGGGCGCCACAGCCACTTCATGTAAGCCACTGACACTTTGAGAAACTACAATATGATCGTGATCAAATTTTGTAATTAAACCCAACAAGGGCAATAGACAGGACTCTTAATTTGAGATGTGTCGATCACAGCGCTCTCCTACTCTAAGGTATTCACAAGGAGACATACTTTTTATTCCTCTTCCTCCTCTTCCACCATTTTCCAGGCAACTTTAGCAGGACCCTTGGTGCCATCACACTTCCCTTTAGACTTATAGTCAGTAACATCCTTCTCGTACTTCTCCTTCAGCTTTGCTGCCTTGGTAATGTAAGGCTGCTTTTCACTGTCACTTAAGTTATTCCACATCTCCAAGAGAGATGTCAGAGTTTGTGGATTTGATCTTGGGGCAGAATTTGGAGCAGAATAAGAAAAATCCAGACAGAGGTCTTTTGGGAACATTTGGGTCCTTCTTCTTCTTGCCTCCTTTAGCTTGTCCATAATCTTTCATCTCCTGATCATAGCGTACTTTCTGCCTTTGCCGTTTCATCAAACTTTGATTTCTCTTTGCTAAACATTGTCTTCCACCTCTCAGAACACTTCTTGGAAAACTCCGAATTGACTGGAACCTCTGGGTTTTTCTTATGTTCTTCCCTGCATGTCTGCATGAAGAAGGCATAAGCAGACATCTTGCTCTTTGGTTTCTTGGAGTCACCTTTAGCCATCCTGACTCTATTGCTCGCTAGTCTGGGCAGTGCAGGGTACAACGTGTGGCTCAGTGCTCTCCAGCCTCATGCTAGCTGCCTTGTTTCTACTTTTATTCACATATCTTTGTGTTTATACATTATATATTCATATGGGTAACAGTGAAAACCTGGTATATTAGGGTTCTCTAGGGAATTCTCACAGAATTTATGAGTAGTCTCTATATCGTAAGGGAATTTGTTGACGACTTACAGTCTGTAGTCCAACTCCCCAACAATGGCCAGCAGCTGCTCTGAATGGAAGTCCAAGGATCTCCCATCAACCCCACAAGGCAAGCAGGCAAAGAAGAGTGAGCTTCCCCTCGTCCAGTGTTCTTATGTAGGTCTCCAGCAGAAGGTGTGGCCCAGATTAAAGGTGTGTACCAACATGCCTGGATCTGGGACTTGCCTTAGTCTCCTGAGATTAAAGGCGTGTACTACCTTGCCTGAGTCTAAACTTTTCATAGCCACTATGCCACAAGATCAGGCTGTATTGTAGTTCATTCTAGATACAGTCAATCTGACAATCAGGAATAGCCACCACCACACCTGGTCACAGATGGGATAAAATATTGGCAAGCACAAGAAAACATGAAATATATGAAGAATCCTAATGACTTAAAATGGATGAAATGAGCTGATGCAGAGGCCATGGTTTGCTTCCCCTGGCTTGCTCAGCTTGCTTCTTTATAGAACCCAGGACTACCAGCCCAGGGATGGCACCATCTACAATGGACCCTCCCACCTTTGATCACAAATTGAGAGAATGACTTACAGCTGGATCTCTTGGAGACATTTCCTCAAGGGAGGCTCCTTTCTCTGTGATAACTCCAGCTTGTGTCAAGTTGACACACAAAACCAGTGTACAACCCTGAATAAATTTAAAGATGCTAAACACACAAAAATGTTATAAAAATATTAAGTACAATGTAACAGCTATCCCTCAATAAAACTGTAAAGACAAGAAAAATCTTATAGTACTGTCTGCTGGGAACACTACAGAATAAGACTTAGAAATATTCTAATTTCAATATATGAAAATGAATTCATAAATAATGCTTTAAGAAACTAGTAATTGTCGGGCAGTGGTGGCACATGCTTTTAATCCCAGCACTTGGGAGGCAGAGGCAGGCGGATTTCTGAGTTCAAGGCCAGCCTCATCTACAGAGTGAGTTCCAGGACAGCCAGAGCTACACAGAGAAACCCTGTCTCGAAAAACAAAAAAAAAAAAAAACAAAAAAGAAACTAGTAATTAAGTGTATAACATGGACATAATATGTCCATGGACCAAAAAAATAGCACTCATGACCAGGCATGCTGGCACACTTGGGAGGCAAAGTCAGGTGATCTCTATGAGTTTTGAGTCAGTTATAGTCAGAACTATATAGTAAGTTCAAGGCCAATCCATGCTACATAAGACCTGTCTCCAGAGGAGGCTAAGGTTGAGTTAGGGAGAGCACTCGCCA